CCAAATGTGCACGCAAAGAAAGAAGGCATGGTGTCAGTAACCGCAGTTAGTGTTGAAGCAGCCATGTCAGGGAGAAGTGTGTGTGTGTGTGTGAGAGAGAGAGAGAGAGAGAGACAGCGTCACATCAAAGTGAAGTCAGCTGTCTTAACCGCGGCTTGTGTACTGCGTCACGCGACTCTGTTCCCCTTTCGGGCTTGAACTGATGGTAAAACTAATGTTTTTTTTTTCTTGTCTTAATCATATTTTCCTGTCTTTGTTTTGCAGATTACAAAATTTGGCTCTGCAGCTGATATTCCAGCACGATTCATTGAGAGAAACATCAGTATCAGAGGAAGACTAAGAAATATTACCGAAAAAGGGCTTGAAGTGGAACACATTCCAATTTATGTCCCTTTGCTCAGTCGCCTATTTACTAAACGTAAGGAACAACTTGATCCCCTTTTGCAGTCCTTCAGGAAGACCCCCTCACACACTTTAATTAAATGTCCTTTCAGTAGGCCTGCACATTTATTTCACAGCTGTCACAGGGACCACTGTGTTCATCTCAACAGCTGGTCTCAATTATGACTCAATCTTAAAAAGCCTGTTTCTCTTAGAAACAGTTTTATCGGTTTTCATAATTGTGGATTTCCTGCTGTGTCAGTAAGTGTAGAGAAGTTTTTTTTTCCCTGCTTAAAAAAGTGACTTTGCCTTTGAACTTGGATTCAAGCCCATTCTCTTATTGGTCTTTTAACATAAGTCAATGAAGCACATAGGATTTCTCTCTCTCTTGTCGTCTGATTGTTACACTCCAAACCCTGCAAAACCTCACATTGTTTCAGAACAATATCAAATTGCCACTGAGTTGTTAACATTTGCACATCTACAAGATTGTGTTTCAGTATTTTCAAATGAATCTCTGTAAATCAGTTAGTGGAAAGAGGCAGTCAGAGTAATTCTATTATGGACCCGCCATGCCTTCAAAATGAGTTTAGATGTGATCTAAATGTGCGATACCAGTCACATATCAACTCCCTGAAGGATAGCTAAGACGATTATGTCTGTCAATGTCACTGTGATTCCCAGATGGCCTTGTTAAGCTTGACCTCTTGGTGCTTGTACTAGCTTTCTCCTGTACACCACACAGACTAATACTCATCAGGATAGCATGACCTTATTGGTCTCGTTCACATAATGGTCCTCCCAGACCACAGAAAATGATCCTTTCTTTAAATCCTTCAGATGTCTCGTTGCTTTAAACTGGCTCCGTAAACTGTTTTCCCTTCGTAAAAGCTCTTTGAAATAGAGTCTTGTTGATATATCGTTTTTGTTGGCTAGAGATGACAACTCACACTGGCTTCTGCAGGTCAGTCCATGACCCTTCTGGATGTGCGTCTGGCTGGAGTGGAGCTGACCGCAGAAGGGCAGAACTGGATTGGTCAACAGCTGAAACCAGCTGAGACAGTGTGGCTCCGACTGATCGCTCGGCAGAACGAGACCCTCCACTGCCTAGTGTCGGTTAACAGGGTAGGTGCGATATACCAGATTAGCACAGGGTCAGATGCCACCGTGAAAGTTGTTTGCTTGACAAATGAGAGTCTTTGATAGGAAAAAAAGACACTTTAGAGCAGTGGTTTTCAGCCTTTTTGGCTGCAAGACCCAATTTTCCACAACAGTATTCAAAGAAAGACCCAGTTATGTTTCCAGCTGTTTGGGATTTACTGGATAAGGTTTATCTATTTATGTATGTATGTATTTTTTTATTTACTTGCTTACTTGTTTATTTACTTACTTATACTCAAACATTTTACCTTATTATTTTGGAGCTAGACATAACTTATAAAGAAGTCTATTTATTATAAAAATGGCCACAGAGTTATGAGATCTATCTATCTATCTATCTATCTATCTGGAATTTATTTATTTATTTATTTATTTATTTTAAGGAAGCCTGGGCTCTTCAAAGACAAAACAAGTTGGGATCCAGTTGAAGGAAGGAGTTGAAATAAGAAATATCTTGATTTGTTTAGCCTGTATTTAATGCTTTTCCCCCCTCTTAATTTTAAATCATTTTGAGTTTTGAGGCCCCCTAGTGAGTCCTGGCCCCGTGGTTAAGAACCACCACTTTAGATCTAATATCATGCAAGTTAAACAGGGTTCATGGAACACAGTCATGGAAAGCTGGAAATATCAGGGGATTTCAAATGTGTTGTTTCTAAGCCTAGAAAAGTCTTAGAGTCTTAATTACAGTGAACATTTCTACTTGGTTCTATTTTTTTCCTCCTTTTTTAGAAATTGCTCTTTGTATTTCTATATGCAGTTTCTATAAATTGATTGTTAAAACAGTAATCACAAGCAACTGGATAAATGAATAACAATTCTGAATGAATAAATTCTAAATCTAAATGATTAAATGTATAATAAATATTATAATTTTATATGTTATTAGTCACATTTTGCTTAAAAAAAGAGAGAAATCCTTTAAACCCACATTGCATTGATTTTCTCTCTAGGGCTCACTCTTTAACACCTGTGTGAATGAGGAACTTTTGAGGCATGGATTGGCTAGGACTTCTCCTTTTGTGGGTCTGGACTCTCACTCTCGGGTCTACTGGCGTCTCTATAAGCGCTTTCTGAGGGCCGAGAGCAGAGCAGAGAAAAAAGGGAAAGGCCTGTGGAAGGAAGAGAGTCACTGGGAGAGAGCTGCTAATGTCTTGAGGAACAATCTGCTCTTCCTCTCGGTTAAAAAACTCTTCAAATGGACGTCAGGGGCTAAAGAGAAGTGAAATATTCAAACATATTCAAAAACAAGGTTGGTTATTCATTGTGCAGAGTTGTTTTGTTTGAAGTATTTATTCTAAATGTGCTATATTGCTGATCTCAGACCTGAACTTCATGGATAAGGTTAGCAGCAATTAAACTTGAAATGATTGAATCATCCATGTGTTTTTATGCTTATTACTTTGACCTGTCTCTTCACACATGTCCTTATTTACCCAACATGAAGACAGACATTCTTAACACGTTGCAGTTTTGTGTAATCCATCACATTATTCATGCTGTCCTACACCTGTAGCGTTGGACACCATCGTCATATTCCTGACAACCGGAAAGCCTTTGTACTTATCCCTCCTCCCATAAATCCATATCCCACAGACATCTCGGTTTTCTCTTTCCCTGGGGAGGCGGGGGAGTGCTTTGTCACGATGACATGGCAGTGGGGGTCTAGTGATGCCCCTATGGAGACAATGAGGAGGAGGGATCCCCATTACTATAGAAACATCACACTCACAAGACAAAGTGCATTGGGGGTGCCACCTTCTCAGGGTCCTAAAGGCCTTAGTACTTTGGAGATGGGGAAAAGAGCCTAGAAGAGGGAAAAAGGTGCTTGAATGGAAGAAAACTTATCTAAAAGACGAAGACAAAGGTTTAAAAGACAATTAATATTCAGAAATGTTAGCAGAGGTAATATTATCAGAAGACAATTGTAGCTGAATTGTACTTGTTTCATTGACAGTGACTAAAGAAACACATTTGAAATGTCAACAAGATTTTGTGAAAGTGAATATGTCAGTGTTGCATGTACCAACTACACAAATCTGGTGTCTCAACATAATAGAAGTCATTCTGGTTTATTGTCTCAAAATTATACCTGGTGGGTTCATTTTCTGAAAAACAACAAACAAATCACAACTCCGAGAGAATATGTAGATAGGAGACTTGTTAGACTCTAAAAAGAGGCTAACATCTAAAGGCCCTCCCAGTGGTTTGCTCAACAGTGAGAACGCAGGTCCTCTGGTTGGGGTTTTGTTTTCGCCTCAGTTCTCAATGGTAAGAGTCTATCTACTCTAATGGGCAGAAGGGGGAGGGAATGACCAGGGAAGTTGCCTACCCCCTCCTTTCAGCCTTTGTTGTGCAAATGTCCCTTGCGACTATGGCAGAGATGCTGGACTCTTATTGGACAGACGGTTTGAATTGTAAAGGTGCATTGGGTATGAGACTAGCAGACTTTGAACCCAGACTCAGTACATGGGCGGTTACACAGAAAGACCTGTGGAAACTGTGGAAGGAGTGAGAGATGTGTGACAGGAAAATATGCCCTTTGTTTTAATGCGGGAGGGGGAACAGAATTCCTCTCTTCTCATTGTATCAAATTCTAAGCTTGGAATTTTAAGCTCCTCGACTGAATTTACAACTCTCACATTTTAGGTTTTGTGATAGCACACTGAAATGCAAATTTATTTCAAAATATAACATCTATGAATAGAATAGTAAGTAAATTTCACATTTTATGTTTTATATCATAGTTTATATTATTATTTAGTTTGGTCAAAAATAGAGGCAATGTTTTCTAACAAGCATTTTATTGTTATACTATTTTATTTTGTCCTGTTTATTTTTCAATAATACCTAATATAAGTATTCATTTATAGAAATAAATAACTTTCGATCACACTTTATTTTAAGGTCCAATTCTTGCTATTAACAAACCATTAACAATGACTTTTGCCTCAACAAACTCCTAATTTGCTGCTTATTAATAGTTAGTAAAGGAAGGTGTTATGTTTAGGTATTGGGTAAGATTAGGGATGTAGAATATGGTCTTTATAAGTACTAATAAACAGCCAATATGTTATTAAAGGCATGCTAATAAGCAACTAGTTAATAGTGAGAATTGGTCCCTATACTCAAGTGTTACCTAGCTTTCTAACATTTTTGGAAAGAAAAAAAATAATAAAAATAAATAAATAAAATAAAAATAGTCCACTTGTAAGTTCTCAGTCTTTGAGTTTTGTTGAAACATGCCTTTAAAATGCTACAGGAACGGATTAGTATTACTGGCAAACTGAATACCGTATTAATTGTCGCGTGATGATATTTGTTGTTCCTGCTTATTGTCGTTCATTGTCAGTCCGTTCCTAAAAGTCCGCACCTGTTTTTGCGGCTGCTCCTCTCGGCTCCGGTCAGTTACCAGTCCGGAGCTTTTGAATGAGAGCGGAGACTTACAGTTAAACTGCACTTGGGAAGGAGAACCCTGGAGACTCGCGTGTGCAGAGGAAAATAAGTACACAATGTTTCCATGAAAAGAGTCAAGGCTGACTTTGTAACCAAAGCGGAATTATAAGCAAACTCTTGAGTAAGAGAAACTGAAGTAAGTGATTTGTCTCCGTTCTTTGTTGAGAGCAGGTGCACGTTTGAACGGTACCAGGCGAAGAAGTTTCACCTTTTCCTTTTTTATCTCCTTTCTATTTTACTCTTATGAACTGTCTATATTATACAGTGTCAGTGAACGATATACAATATATATATATATATATATATATATACACACACACACACACAATGTTAAAAACCCTGTAGGAATAACGTTTTAAACAGTACATTTATTATTTACTTACTCACATAGTTTTCTTGGTGTACAGTTTGGCAGATGGTTGAATTGACATGACATTATAAATGCATTACATATCCAGAGGGTGGCATAAAAAAAAAGCAAAAGCGCAGGTGGTCTTCGGGTCCAGTGGAGGGGTTTCACAGAATCCAGGGGGCATTTGTTCAAATCACCACTCATGTGCAGAGGTGACTGCTGTGTGTTATATGTAATGTTCAGAGAGTAAGTCAAAACTTGTTCAAACACATGTTGACAGAGTGTACTGACTTTGCAGGCTGGTAAATTTATCTGGGTGTGTGCTGTTCCCTGAAGTCTCAACAATCACTGTTTCTCATGTTCAACATTTCCCCAAATCCATATATTATTTACAGACTTTAACCAGACAAATATGGACCTAGAATTATTGTGTGCCATCTCTGTCTCTAAATCTGCCAAAATGGAGCTCAATAAAAAAGCTCAAAGATTGAACAAGATGACACTCTTGAGGTTTAACCCATAACTGATTAATCTCTTTGAAATCACTTTTTTAAAAATGATTATTATAAATTGATACACTGACGTTATTTTACCGGAATGATTAAGTGATCTGTATTTGGCTACACAAGACACCCCATATAGAGCATCACATTATAGTGAAATAAATGTCAGACACACACTTGGGAAAGGTTCGGCTTTGCAACCAAGACAGTCTTGTATTTGTCACTGCAAAGAGCTTCTATTCAAAGTGTATGCATATTTCTGTGTATTGGAACGTGTGGGGTAAAATGACTCCAGTGTTTTCCAAGCACAGTGTATCATTTTGCTCCCCTGCTCGGGTGTAGCGTGGGGCGGCAAACAAGCTTCTGTGTGGAAGCGGAGACCCGATTAATTATTTAGCTTTTATTCTCCGAGAACAGAAGACAAGACATGTTAACTGTATTCTTTGTGTTCTCAGTGTGGCTTCAGTGAAGTTAGTCCTCGGCGGCCTTGAAACAGATCCCAGTGTCTGTCACTAGTTCTGGGTCATATAAATGTGCCTGCCACTCCTACTGTATCAGTCCAAGCCAAGAATGTTTCAGACTTTTAGTGCATTCATTCAGTTCACTTTAAACTTTAAAAACAGTTTTGCTTCCTTTTTTTTCTTGAAGTTGATCTGTTTGTCACTTGAGTGTTTAATTTTAAGCCTAGCAGATCAGTCAGAATTCAGTCAGGGCCACCTTAATGCAGGCACTTCCTAGTGGCCATCATTAAGGTGCTTTCGTTCAGTGTTTGAATAACCATAAGTAATTACAAGATTTTGAGATGTTCTTGCAGAACTTGCATTATACAACTTCAGAGAACTCCAGCTTGTACCACTTGACCATTGCTAGGTCATACTGAAACTGAAACCCTGACTTTTAGTTGTAAAATGTAGTACAGCAGTTTTTTTTTAATAATAATTCTCTTTAATATTTCCCATAATTGACTATTGTAAATGTTTTGATAATGCAAGAATAATCTGAAAGTAAATGAATGACACACAATACCGATTAATATAGCACAGCGTTGATTAACTTTCTAATGCCTTGCTAAATAAACTATACGTTTATGAATAATACATTTACATAATAGTTTTGTCCATTGATTACTCAAATTACTCAGACATTCATTTTGCCATTAATATTGTTGACATAGAAATACATAATTCTGAGAATCTAAGGACAACTTAACGGGAGACAATGGGAGTAAAATGTTCCATTTTGTCATTTAGTAGTTATAGTATTTTTGACATGCCGTGAATGCAGCACAAATTAAAAAAATTAATTTATTGATATAAAATGATCTATGTATGTAATAAAGTGCACAGACAATAAGTTTGTATTTATTTATTCATTCATTTTTTAATTTTTTTTTATTTCATATGGAAAACATCAAGCATGTTAATCATACCCATTTTATATTTTCTGTTGCATTTTATCATGTTTAATAGACTTTTTGGAAATGGGCATTTCTTTCATACTTAAAAGGTACAGATTGCACATAAAGAGTTTCAATATCACACAATATATATATATATATATATACAGTGGGTACGGAAAGTATTCAGAATATCAATATAAACTCCTAATTTGCTGCAAAGTAGTTAGTAAGATAGTTGTTAAGTTTAAGTATGGGGTAGGATTAATGGATCTACAATATGGCCATGCAGAATAAGGCATTAATATGTGCTTTACAAGTACTAAAAACAGCCAGTATGCTAGTAATAAGCATGCTAACAAGCAACTAGTTAATAGTAAGAATCGGTCCCTCAACTATGTTTACCCTTTTTTTCTAACAGCGTTGCATGTAGTAAGTTGCTGTGTCTTGTTCTCCAAAAGTTTGGTAATCATTCATAACAAAGCTCTCTATTCTAAGTAACTTATAACGAACTTGTTTTTAAAGAGTGATTATAACATTCTAGGAGACCTGTTATACAGTTAACATTCTGGAAATTCAATGCATATTAGATGGTGTAGTGGGAGGGAAGGGCAAGTGGTTCCATGGGGGGAGCAAGTGGGCACTGAAAACAAAAGCTTGGAGAGATCTATACCAAATATTGTGATGCTCTCGGAGATGACAGATTCTGGGAATAAAATAACAGCATTATCTGTTAGAAATATGTTTGTGAGTGAAACAGACTTTCAGATACAGATGATAATGCAGAAACGTGAGTCAGCAGTTTAGCTGGATTGATATGTATTCTTCTTGACAGGGAGAGTGAGAGAGGCCATCCACTTTTCTGCAGGATATGGGAGGGCTCTGAAGAGGGGGCTTGTAGGGGGAAATTGTCCTGCTTTACAGTCAGAGGGGGTGTGGGGTCACGGGGTTAGACCCTACCCCCACAGTTAAATCTATTTTAAGTGCTGTCACCCCAATCCCCTGTGCTCAAACTCTCTCATACGCACTGATTTATTAATGACCTTTCTTGAAAGCTTGAAAGCATGTTTTAGTTATTTGAACATCATATTTCAGATTTCTCATAATTCTGACTTTATATCTTATTATTTGACTTTTTATTCACCAATTCTGACTTTATCTTGCAATTGCTACTTTGTTTATGATAATTGTGATGATAAGTGAGAATTGTTCCCTATACTAAAGTGTGTTTATATATATATAACACTTTAGTATAGGGAGCAGTTCTCATAGTTGCTTATTAGTATGTCTATTATTAACATATTGACTGTTTATTAGTACTTATAAAGCTCATATTCTGCATTACCATATTCTACATCCGTAATCCTACCCAACTAACTACTTTAAATCCTAACTTACTAACTATTAATAAGCAGCAAATTAGAAATTTATTGAGGCAAAAGTCATAGTTAATGGTTTGTAAATAATAAGAATTGGACTTTAAAATAAAGTGTGACCTCAAATATTTGTAATTTCCAAGTTATTTCTCATAATGATGACTATATTTGAGACGTTTGTTTTTTTTTACTTTATCTTTAAAGGTGCCATAGAATGCATTGATACAATATTTTAAATTGTTCTCTGATATCTACATAGAAGGCATGTGGCTTAAGGTATAGATAATATATAGATAGATAGGACAATATTTGGCCGAGATACAACTATTTGAAAATCTGGAATCTGCGGGTGCAAAAAAATCTAAATATCTCCTTTAAAGATTAAAAATAAAAAAAAAACATAAAAAAAAATCGCCTTTAAAGTTGTCCAAATGAAGTTCTTAGCAATGCATATTACTAATCAAAAATTAAGTTTTGATATATTTACGGTAAGAAATTTACAAAATATCTTCATGGAACATGATCTTTACTTAATATCCTAATGATTTTTGGCATAAAAAAAAATCTATCATTTTGACCCATACAATGTTTTTTTGGCTATTGCTAAAAAATATACCCAAGCGACTTAAGACTGGTTTTGTGATCCAGGGTCACAAATGTGTTTTGAGTGACGAGCGATGACAGACTGTTGTGTAGTATGAAAGAACAGCAATCTGATGACTTTAAAAGTCGTGTAGTTTGTTGGCGCCATAACATGCAGCCAAGTGTTTTAAAATTCAATTTAGGAGAGATAAATATTAATTGTGCCTAATTTCTTACTTGACAAGATAAATGCACAACTGATGACTAAAGAGGCATTTATGCTGAGTGTTTACACTGAAAAACCAACTGGAAGTCATTTGATTTTGATGAGGGCTTGCAATTGGAGGTTTACATTAGTGCATTAGTTTTAATGTAGTTTACACATTAGTGACAGAGACTGATAGAGACTGATTTATATCTACCCCCAGATATGGTTAATGCAACAGACCAATGCCAACAATACAGCAACTTGCCAAACATTCAGCTATTTAATTGTCAGTGTGAATGCGCCTAAAACCTTTAGTGATTTGTATTGATTTTCTACACAGAAATATGACCACTGTCCATCAAACTCCCCCTCAATGAGCCTTGTTACTGAAATGAGTCCACCTTGATTTGCTTCTGCAACAGAAGCTAGAGACGCAGGCCTTACATAATCCAGGAAGGTTATATTTTCCACTTCCTAATAATGGGACGCCACCAAACCAGATTGTGTTCCTCAGGGGCAGATGGGACTTTCTTATGACAGTGCAAACAGCATGGTTTATTGAAAAGCCAAGCGCTCACATTACCACACTCTGACACTATAATCATTCTCAATTTTCTCCCTCTGTGTGGATAATGCCTGCTGAAAGTGGCTGCTAGCCTCTTATCCCATAGCTAATGTGCCTCATAGTCACAGGAATAAATTTCTCAAGCACATGTGACAGCTTTTGATTACCCTCACATTTATATTCCAGCTATTCTGACAGGAAGCGACAAATCACAAGATGAGAGAAACCAGGAGAGCTAATTTGAGCGAGGGTTTGAAACAGGTCTCCTGGGCCATATGGATCGCATTTACAGCACGTTTTAGAGTCTTTGAGATCCGCCTTTTTGTCGATTTGTCTAGAATCTTGGCACTGTGGTTCACATACACATCAGGGATGCTCTGCATATGACATTGTCCCTGATTTTGACCTTTCTCTTTGAAATACCTCCCATGGAGTCTCTTCCTGAACTGTCTGTACAGTATTGTAAGTTTTAAAGTAAAGTTTGCATCTCTGTTACTGTTCTGTTAAGTTTTTTTCTCCAGCAGCACCTGTTGTGTGTCTGTCTGCTGGTGATTTATGGGAACATCCTGAGGGAGAATGTTCCGGAAAAAGCAAGACCCCCGTCGGCTCCTGCTTTAGTGTCTGATTTCAGCTTGTTTCAGGAAATTAGTGCAGACTGAGGCCACAGGGTCAAACGCATAGACTTTGTGGGGGGCTCTAGTAAGAGTGAATAGTTTCTGTTATTATCCAGCTCCACATGCTCTTCATTCCACCAATTATGGGTAGCAAACTGCATATTGTATAGTTTTTATCTATGGAAGAGTCAAAAGTTTTATAATGGTAAGATAATCTTTTTTGAATGTTTTTAAAGGGGTCATTTGATGCTTTTTTAAAGATCATTATTTTGTGTATTTGGTGTAACAGAATATGTTGTCATGCTTTAATGTTCAAAAAACACATTATTTTTCAAATACTGTACATTATTGTAGGTCCTCTATGCCCCGCCTCTCTCAAACGCGTAGCTTTCTATATATATATATATATATATATATATATATACATGCACATATATACACACACACACACACACATTGTTAGAATGTTCGTATGTACTGTATATAGTGTGGATTATTTATTTTCTTCTAAAGTTTGACTATTTTTTACATTTCCTGACATATTTGCATTATTGTTTTATTTATAATATAATACAATACAATACAGTACAGTACAGTACAATACAATACAATACAATACAGTACAGTACAATACAATACAATACAATACAATACAATATAATATAATATAATAGGAAAGTACAAGGAGAGATGGGGGAACCCGGATCCCCACAGGCAAACAGTACCACAGCTCTGGCTAAATTGTGTCTTATTTAATCCAAAGCTATATTTTAATTTAATTTAATTTTTTATTGGAAGCTAGGATTTCCATTTTATCGTATAGCGATCGTATTGAGCATTACGGTTTCTCACTTTACTTTTTTATTTTATTTTATTTTATTTTATTTTGCCCATTCTCTAATTCTCACTACATTCACAATGTATTACATTAATATAATAATAATAATAATAATAATAATAATAATAGCATCAGCTTAGGCAGTACAACAAAATTATCAGATGTATAATTACTTTAAAGTTTTACTTTTTCATATTACTGTAATGATAATTAGTTTTAAAATGTTTTTATTTTATTTTATTTTTCCCCATTCTCTATTATAATTCTCATTACATTCACATTATTACATTTGTTTAAATATATATTTTTTCACATTACAGACATTGATTGATTGATTGATTGATTGATTGATTGATTGATTGATTGATTGATTGATTGATTGATTGATTGATTGATTGATTGATTGATTTAGTGGGGAAATTAGCTTAATTTTTGATGTCTTAAATATAGTAAAGTAATAGTAGCCTTAATTTGCATTAAGAAATATATAATATATTTTAGTAGTGAAACTGTATGAACCAGATCAATGCTTCTGCTGAACTCCAGCTCGCTGCTTTTCTCTTAATAATGCTGTAATAGAGCACCTGAGCAAGATCTATAAAGATAGTTTAACATCCCAACATGTGCCCGAGTCCCAGGCTTGGTTTAGCAGTAGCGTATGAGGCTGGACTCCAAGCACCTCTTGTGAAGTCACTGATGTGGAGCTGCTTTTGATGAGCATGTATCTGATGGCGGATCGATTGGCTGCAGAACTCACAGCGCTATCGAACGCGGCTCCTGCGACGTGCGAAAGCAGCCTGCAGTTGATTAGTCATGGAATTAGCAGAGAGCTCAGGTTTCCCCGTCTCGGCCAGCAATTTATTTTATTTTATTTTATTTTATTTTATTTTATTTTAGAGTGATCTTCTCCCCCTTAAAATGTGTCTGGTTTAATGATGAAGACCACTTGTGGACAAAATAATTATATTTCCCAGGTGAGAAGTTCCTTACTGTTTTGCAAGTAATTAAAAAGCCTGCAGTTCAAGTAATTGTAGAAAATTTGTGAAGATTAGAGAGGTGATACTGCACATCATAATTTACACCTTTGGGAGGATCTCAACATATCATTTCACACCTATGTATTCTGCATTTATAATGGACATGGATGTGTAATAAACTCTCTCAGGGCACCTTCAGCCCTCGGTCCCTTTTTACCCAACACACATACACACTCCTTTTCATTCCCTGCGTATTTGCCTTTCTCCACAATCTCTTTTGTAATCCCATCAGTACAATCAGTGTTGTAACTATAGGTCTGCACCTGTCATTTCCAATCAGAGCGCTTTGTGCCTGACGAGATGTGAGACTGAACATCAACCTCTAGCTGTCATAGCACATGGGTCAAAACCTTTACCATTTGAATATGTCTTCATGTATGCAAAATGCATATTTAAATTTATTGCTGGATGCTGTTTAATAAGCTATACTGTATATTTAACAACAGAAATGAAACATCTGTTTTTTTTCTCTCTCCATTACAGATATTCCACTCTCCATCCTTCCTGGATCCCATCATGAGCTACAGGAAGATGGACAAGCATGGAAGCCCACAGTATTGCCGCCATTTTCTGGCTGACAACAGCATCTTCCATGGTAGGTTTATGTCCGTATGATGGATATATCGTAATGTGGCATTGTTATACAAAACAAAATATGAGAACTGGGAATTTTGCACTTCTCCAAATCTCAGGAAATGTGAAGAGTGGTTTTTGATTACTTGACCATCAAATGCATTTGGGACTGGTATACACAAGGTGGTGCTGTATCTCACATCATGATGATAATAAAGCGCTGGTGCTGGATTGTTTGGGAATTGCCATCTTCGGTACTGAAAGGAAAGGAAATCAGTCCGTCTTGACTTGATGCTGTTTGTTTAAATGGGACTGAGTCCCCAAGGCCACATCGCTGAGCACAAAACTGACAGCTTGACAGAAATATTGCAACAGTATCTACTACAAATAGCTACAGATGGTTTGAAAAATGAAAAAATTTGTCCAGCCATGCTCACATGCAAATGGGAGAGACGGGAGTAGAGGAGGGAGTATTGACAGATGTGCTAAGAGCCAGGCAATAAATTCTATTTATTAAATGCTAAAGGTTATAGCCTACCTAATGCTAGACCGCAGATCTTCATATGTTCATCAAATGCTTTAAATGACGTTTTGACAACATTTTCCTGTGACATTTCCGGTCATTTCATTTTTTATTTTTTTTTTATTAAATCATGTTATAATTTCCAGGCCTTGAAATGTAATGTCAATTTCTATATTGAATATAATATATTTTTTCATAATATTTAATATTTATCTATATTGAATATAAAAGTTAGTGCTCAAAATCTAGAAATATCAAGGAATTTGATTTTTTTCCCCATGAAAATGAGCAATATTTTAATACATTTTAACTTCCATAGATACATATACACTACTGTTCAAAACTTTGTGGTTGTTAAGATTTTTTTGAAAGAAAACTTATTCTCAGGTTCTCAAGGCTGCATTTATTATATATATATATATATATAAAACGAAATATTGTGAAATATTATTACAATTTTAAATACTCTTTCTATTTTAATATATTTTCCAATTTAATTTATGTTGTTAATTTATATGATGCTCATTTATGTTAATTTATGATTTGTGCTGGCAAAGCTGAATATTCAGCTGTCATTGTTCCAGTTTTCAGTGCTGCATGATTCTTTAGAAATCATTATTCTAATATGCTGATTTGTTGCACAAGTAATATTTCTTATCAATATTTAAAACATTTGTGCTGTGTAATATTTTGTGAAAACGGTCTTTTTGTTTCAAGACTGAATAGAAAGTTCAAAAGAAATTTTTTTTTTTATATAGAAATTCTTAAAAATAGCATTATAAATGCCTTTACAGTTACTTTTGATCAATTTAATGCTTCCTTGCTGAATAAAAATATCATTTTCTTTAAAAATGACTGACCCCAAACTATTTTTCTAGTTGTATACTTCTTCATCTAGAAATTACTCTTAAGTGTGATCTCTATAAAATAGTTCTTAAAAATAATTAATCAGTCGCAAACAACTGGAAAATATGTGATTCATTTAATTCATAAATTCTAATTTAATTTAAAAGTAGCACTTGAAACAAGTTTTATGCTTACATTTTTTCGCTGATGGAAGGTACATCAGATGATTGAGTTTATATATGGGTTTGGTTTTCTTTAGCTATAATCTCTATGTATAAGTACAATTAGCAATTACTCAGCATTATTGCTTTTAATCAGCATTAATGCTTAAGTAGACCTACCATACCCATATTCCAGTGGCATATACTGACATGAACAAGATGCAGTTGTGTGTTGGTATGCCGGTGTGTTTGCTCCTCTGAGAGAGGCCTGATTGTTGTCTAGTGGCTGGGCAGTTGATGCATGATGTCCATCAACCCTGTGGGCTGCAGCCCGTCTGTCTGTCTGAAGGAGCTGTTGTGTCTGGCTCTTCTTGCGTGGCATGCTGGGCTGCACTGCTGCAGTAATTTACCCTCATTCATTCTTTAAACGTTTTCACTCCTCCCGCAGCCAGAGATGGATCAACCTGCCTGAAAATGACAAAAGCGAGTGATTTAAGCTTATGAAACCGGTGTTTGCTTCAATTCCACAGGTCCCTTTTTTTATATTGTACTGGTTTCCAGTTTCTTCCTCTCAAACTGTGTGTCACTCTCTGTCTCTCACTGTTTTATTGTCATTTGCTTGCTCATTTGTCTCAGATGGCTAGTGCAATAATGATGAAGGAGGAGATAGGAATGAAAGAGAAGAATAAGGAGTAATGATGAAGTGGAAATCAAGTTTATATGCATCACTAGAAAATATGAGCCGTTTTATATGATATGAATCACTTGTAAAATAAAACCTAGAGCTGTGTGTATAAATTGATTAGTGCTTTGATTCCCCCAGTAATGGCAGGCCAGCCCAATTTGATAGCGCCTTAGACACATTTTCTTGCCACACAATACACACATGAATAGAACAGGGAAGCCTAACATTATACTGACCTAACAGAATCCTCAGACAATATTGATTGGATCAGCTTCATTCCAAACCACTTTACAGCTCTGGGAGCATCTACTTCACTCTACATCTATCGGGATTTATTCTTGGGAATTTGATTGGTTAATTTAGACTTTTTTTTTTTTTTTTAGTCAGCAACAATGTCCCATTTGACATTTAGCACTTTAAGGGCACTTACACACACACACAAACACACAGTCTGGAACAAATTTGGCTTATTTATGTGCTGTGAAAATGAAACCCTCAAAGGAATCAATGACAAGATCCAGACTTGCTTATATTTATGAGGCTTTGTTTCCATCTGTCACTGATGCTTGTGTGATGGATGAGTGTGACGGAGACTTCACAGTGAAGTGCTCGCCAATTGAAACACTGAGTGAGCATATTTAACTTGGTACATCACACTGAGCATATTTAACAGCCATTTTAGTCTGGATAGAGGTGATGTTAACATCTGTCAGATATTGCGGCAAATTTAATAACTGTGAAAAGGAGTAGTTCAACCAAAAAAATTCTGTCATCATTTATACATGTTTTATATCTGCATTCATACATTATTTATTCATATTGTTCCAAACTTCTTTAGCTTTCTTTTGTGGAACACATAATGAGAGATTTTGCAGAATGTTCATGCTGCTCGTTTCCATTCAGCAAATGTATGATTGTGGACGCTTGCAAATAAAGGAATAAATTACATTTTTAAATATACTAAAATAGAATACAGAATGGCTTCAAAAGACTTGGAATATAGAAAATTAGTTATACTGACTACTTTTATTATGCTTTTGTGTTTTTTTTTTTTCAGTTTTGAGGCTTGAACGACACTATTCTTCAGTTGTATTGAAATGAGCAGTATGAACATTCTACAAAACATCTTTTGGATTCCCACATAAGAAACGGTAGTTTATTTGATCTCACACAGCAGAAGTGTGGGGTCAGGGGTTTCTAGGGAAAGCAAGAACTGATCAAATGTAAATGTATAGCGTGAAAGCAGTGTAAGTCACTTTGGCTAAATGTGTCTGCCAAAAGCATAAATATAAATGTAGAGAATAGGTCATACAGGTTTGGAACGGCCTGAGGGAGTAAATAATGACAGGATATTTTTGGGTGAACTTTGCACTGAAGCATTGAAAACAAATGTTTATTTATTTAATTATTTTACAATTTGTGGTAAATGTGTAATGTAGGCCATTATGTGCTTGGGGAATTAAGTAGTCCATTGCTGAAAATATGTTTACACATTTCTCACATCATATTTCCTCTCACTGTCCCGCAGTCCAACATTGCAGCACATAGATCAATGAGAAATACATTATGACATATTAATCATTTAGAAACCTTCCACTTAACTCTAATAGCTCTCAACCGTGCGTTAATGCGCATTCATCTGTAAAGATGTGATGAGAGAGTTCATTTATTATCACAGACACGTGACTTTAAACTAAATCAGATGGCGTGATAATCGGTTTATTCTCAAATACCTGTGAAATAGGGGTGATTTCCGGTAAATTGGGACATGCTTTATAAATCGGTGTCAAAAAGTGACCTAGTTTACGTGAATTCTCCCTAACAAAACAATAGTTGCTGCTAGACAACTATGATGCTTCTTTGAATTACATTTTGCTGGAACAACAAATACTGGCCAACGTTCACGCCAAAACGAAAAGTCTGTCATATTTTCACCCTCATGTTTTTCCAAGCGTGTAGGACTTTATTTCTTCTGTGTAGAGGAGATGCGACAGTAAAGACACCGTTCTTTTTCACTGTTTGGAAAAAGACGCGATAGAAGCTAACGATTCTGCATAACATCAAAAGTCATACAGGTTTGGAACGACATGAGGGAATTACAGGATTTGGGGTGGGGGGTGGGGGTTAACTATCCCTTAAACGACATGCTCCTCAGGTTAACTACGACTCCTCAAGTAATTTGCTCTTTGTTTGATTTAAAAGACAGACTCACTAAGGAAACTAAGAGTTAGACTACATGTTCCGCTGACCTCTTAATCGCTTTCATAACATCCACATCCCCTCGTCTCCCCTCCTCCCCACTGCTCGCGAATATGTGCCGAAAAGAAGCGCAGATATGCCTCGTGCAGAGATCAGAGTCACTGAGAATGAGGCGAAACGAGCGCGAGTGAGAGAAGAGGAGCGCGCGCGCCTCACGGAGATTGGAGAGCTCCTTTCCGCGCGCATTGATTACATGAATCAAATGGATTTCTTAAAATTATTCATTTAAAATGTATAGACAGCATCTATTTATTAAAATGTAACCGCATATAAATTCCTGAGGAAGGGTGTCCTATTACAGATAGCCTATATTTAATGGAAGAGTGCAATGACACCTGCATTCCGAAGCGCACATTTTGTTTTGTGATCGTCGTACCGAAAGGGATTTGGTCTTGATGCGGTGTTTACCTGTTATCAACTATAATGGCAGAGCTGGAAGTTTTGAAAAATATCACTTTTGAGAAGGGTGAGTCATACATTACGCTGCTATGATATCAGTCACTTAACTGTTTTTTTATTATTGTTTATTCTCTGGTCGGTATTTTGTC